GAAGTATTATATGAACGGGAAGTACAGGAAGTACCACATGAGAGAGAGAGAGAGAAAGAGAAGAAAAAGGCAGTGCTTGCTTTGACCGCCCTCGCTTCTCTCACTCCGACCACACACCCTCCCTTTGTTCATTGTGTTCATTAGTGTTCTTTTATGTTCTCCTTTAGCACTGTGTGGCATATTTTGAAACATAAGAACGACTTGTATTTGTTCATCATTTTCCTTTTTTTTTACTGTTTGTGTTTTGGTTACTGTGGTAATAGTGTGCATGTAGGTTCTATATGATTGCATTTTTAAAATCTTATTTCTTATTTATATGTTTGTTTTTCGTGTGTTTTTTCTTGTGAAATTCTGTCTATATCAAATCCTGTAAATACAGTACCCTTAACACCTTCTACTGAATGTACAATACCTGTATTCCTATTTTATTGGAAAGACTGTATATTTTTTATTTTATTTACCTATATCTTTCTATCTATAACTAAACATACAAACAACTAAACTGTATATGAAACAGAGACCCTGAAATCACCTACCTGCCTGCCTGCTTCCAAATAGGCTTGGGTGCGTCCCTCTGCTCCTGTGTAGGTGTACGTAAAGTGTATGTAATGCGTCCAATTTGTATAATGGATTGACTCACTTGGGGCATGTAAGTGACGGAGAAAATATCACGTTTTCGTCGGGAACCTACAGCGAGATTTGGAAAACTGTTTTGAGTTATTGGGGGGGGGGGCGGAATGCATGCGTCGGAATGAGGTTGTTTTCCATTTAACATGCCAGTTCCCGGGGGTATTTTTATGTGGTGATTCGTTGGGTGTGTTTCTTTATGACGGGGACACAGTCGTTCGTTTTGTTCGTCTGTGTGTGCAATTCTTTTTTATAGGGGGATGGGGGAAGGTCTTTCGATTTTTTTTCCTTTGGCTGTCATCGTTCATTGTGTTCACTTTCGCTTTTTGTCTCACTCATACTCCCTTTCTCTCTTTCTCTCGCTCTATCTATATCTCTCTCTGTTTATCTCCATATCTCCGTCTATCCATCTTTGCCTTACTCTCTTCTCTCTTCTCTCTCTCTCTCTCTCTCTCTCTCTCTCTCTCTCTCTCTCTCTCTCTCTCTCTCTCTCTCTCTCTCTCTCTCTCTCTCTCTCCCTCCCTCCTACCCTCCTCCCATCCATCTCACAATCCCCTGTACTGTCCAACCACCATACTAAAGTCTCCCCCGCCCCATACCTTTCCTGGCCCCCTTCCCTCCATTGAGACTCCTTTTACGATAGATGGCAATGCAGGAAAACCATTCGTATTTAAACCAACACGATGCCACGATCAGTTGATACCCTTATTCAGATACCCGTGATTGCACCCTCTCGCTCTGTGTCTTATTTGTGAATATTTTGGGTGTTTTTGTTTATTTAAAGAAGAGGAAGAGGGAAGGTAAGGGTATACGGTGTACCCCGAGTCCAAGGATCTTATATGTTCACGCACGCGTACACAAATACGCACGCACAAATAAACGCGCGCGCGCGCGCACACATACACACACACACACACACACACAAATACACAAATACACACATACACACACACACACATAAACACGCACAAACACGGCTACACACACACCATATCTTTCATACCCAAACACAATTCATGCCATTCTTGGCCCTCAAGTAACAGACTTTCAGGATACATCAGTAAAAAAAAAAAAAAAAAAAAAAAAAAAAAAAAAAAAAAAAAAAAAAAAAATCCCAACTGTTCGAGGTCGTCTTAACAAGATGAAACGAATGGCAGATCATACGAACGCAAATTTTCGTATAAGCGGTATCTCAAGCAACGTAAGTCTTACGAAAGGTGTCTAGTCAAGGAACAATGTTACGTAAACAGGCAAAGTAATGTTACGTAAATGTGGACACTTCGAGCAGACGCAGTATTAAATAAAGGGGATATTTTTTACTTCTAAGTGGTATCCGAAGTAACGCAAATTTACGTAAAAGTGGGATCTGAAGTAACGCATATTTACGTATAAGTGGTGTCTGGAGCAAAGCAGATTTACGTAAAAAATTTACCTCAAAGCAATTTTAAGAAAAGGTGTTATCTCAAGGAACGCAGTCCTTGAGTCAAAATAGCGAGCCAGGCTTAATCTAACCTTCATTTTTAAAAAAGTTTTCCCTCGTCTGGTCTCAAGTTGTTTACTCTTTTTCTTTCTCTCTCATTTTTTTCTGCGTAGTCTTGTTTGTTTACGGATAAGAGGGAGAGAGGAAAGAAGAGTGACGAAAAGAGGAATAAGAAGAAGGAGAGACAGATAGACAGACAGAGAAAGAGACAGACAGACAGAGCCGAGCCAGGGACAGAGAGAGGCCCAGTGATACAGAGGGAGGTTCAAGCAGCCATACAAAAAGAGCATAGGAATAAGAGATAAAGATAAGAGAAAGAGATAGAGAGTTAAAAAAAGAGATATAAAAAAATGCCAAATATAGAAACGCTTCCATTCACGCATAATAGACACTTATTCAAAGAAAACCACCACCCTCTGGCCTTCCTCCCCCTCCAACCCCCTCCCTCGCCTCACGCTACCAGCAGAAGAGCAGGTGGGCGGAGTCTAAGTATGAATACGCCCACGGGAGTCCTGTCTCGGGTTTCGCTCTGATTGGCCGTAAGAACTCCAGGGTAAGTCCTAAGTGACAGTCAGGGGCGCTTCTAACACGCAGCGACTACACAGGCGATGTTACGTAATAGGGTTGAACCTGGATCAGTTGCGTCAAAGAGGTTTTGTTTATGCTGTGTAAACAAAACGTAAAAAGGTTCTTGATAATATGGAAGGAAGGTGTAGATTTTGAATGATGTAAATCTTGGTTTACATACACAAAACGTAAGATTGTAAAAGAAAAAAAAAGTCAGGAATGAAGATTTGTTGTGAATTAGTACAGGCTTGATGAGGTGGATCATATGAATTTTGTAATTATGTAATTCTTGGTTTGTTTCTCTGTAAAAGTGCGTATCTCTTTTAGTAAGAATACACCAATACGCGACTATTGTTTTCTTACATTTACAGTCGCTTAAATAGGATTGGTATTAAATACATTTCGGTGTACAGGGATTCATTAATCCACGTATACAGGCATTTGCATACGAACATAAACAAAGTCATTTATGCAGCATATTTATTAAGGCGCACTTACTTACCCATTACTATAGCAAAAAAGAAAAGAAATAGTACTAATATCATTACCACTACCACTACTGCTATTAATAATAATAACAATAATAATAATAATAATAATAGTAATAATAATAATAATCTGCATGATATACGCAACCCATTCTAACACTACGGAACAAAAGACAGTGATATATTAGAAGCTGAGTGGTTCGGTTGTTATGAACCAGCCACAGCCGGGCATTAACCATAGCCAGGCATGCCAGTCCTCCCTCATCAACGGGTGATTGAATGTTTACGGCAAGCATCGGACTCTGTGCACCGGTTATTGTTTGAAATTGTTGATGTTTTTGCTGCTGTTTGTTGTTTTTGTTTTTATTACTATTATTATTATTGTTGTAATTATTATCAGTTATTATTATTATTATGAAGATTATTATTATTATTGTTATTATTAATGATATAAATGTACATATAATTAAACACTAATGGACATTCATAGCCACAAGCAAACACACACACACACACACACACACACACACACACACACACACACACACACACACACACACACAGCATACATATTGCGTAATTTCATGCCATGTTGCACAAGGCGAGTCGACGTCCGCATATGAGGTACATCCTATGCATCTCACGCACTGCTTCTTAATGTCAACTTTAATTATGCCATAAGTCACAGAGCTGCAGTGATTTTACCTCCCAAGATCTTTACATACTGCAATCGTACAAAATATTTTTTTTCTCGGCTATATAAAGAGAAAAGCTACAGGGGTGGGAAAAAGTTTGGAGACATTTTACAGGTCCTTAAAAAGAACCTTGACGGAGATGGATTTCCCTCGCAGCAGAACAAGAGAAGATCGTGTGCGCTGTAACGCCATCTTAGTCAAACAACATTTAGGGATGTTTAAACGTGCAAATGCAACAGTCTTTGTTTGCTTTCTCCACTCCGTCGACTCCAGGAATTTATATTTACGCCAAATGAGATTTGCATTTCGTCCCAGACCAGCATTCATTTTCCCCATAAGCGCATTCATCACACATTAACATACGAGCGAAACCTCATTAGGGGGAGACGGACATACTAACTAATTACTCCGCTTTCATTTATTTGCTCAAGAGATGTCGACACAGTGTGTTTGTTTGTTTTTACCATCAGGATTAATTAACGTCGCGATATGCGGATGATAGAGTGCGTGTGTCGTGTCGTTGGCTTTCCTTTGATTTAAGTTGTTTATCATCTGTATGACGTATATAAAAAAAAATGCATGCTGTAACCCACTCCCCCTCCCCCCTCTCCCCAAATAATATATAGAGAAACCAGGCGAAAATGGCCATGATTGATTTTTAAAATCTGTTATACGACGTGACTTGCATAACATCAGCTTAACAACTGTAGTTATGCATATATGAAAGGTTATCCAAAAGCACGCACTATAAATCGAGTACATTGTGTCATTCGTCAGTGTCACTTTGACTTCTATTTGGTGTACATCTCTTCCATGCTGGTTTTGCATGGTTACTTTTTTGTTGAAAAGGACGTTCTTTTTCAGTCTGAGTAAGGTATTTGTAATAGATTTATTTAATTGGATCTTTTTAATTGCATCTCTCTCTCTCTCTCTCTCTCTCTCTCTCTCTCTCTCTCTCTCTCTCTCTCTCTCTCTCTCTCTCTCTCTCTCTCTCTCTCTCTCTCTCTCTCATCAGTCTTAAAATATATATTATTATAATTATCTTCTACTAGATCCTCTGCACATAGACACTAATGCTTCGTTTTTTATTATAAATATTTTGCAGCATATACTTATGTATTTTTATTTATCTTCCCACAGGACGACCAGAAGAAAGAAAACGTGACTAAAGCAAAACTCTGAGAAGATTAAGTGAAGGGCAAATACACGAAATAAATGAAAGAAAATTGATATATGTAAAAGAAAAAAATAATAAAGAGAAACTAAGAAAAATATATATGAAATAACTACATATATCACGTGGCAGTGAGGTGACAGCAACTTAATACAATAGGTATATATATAGTTAATTATATATATATAAATATAATTCATTAAAATAAAGAAGCTTCCAGTATTTTGCTTGTCACAATTCTGGCTCGGGCATCGCTAAGGCAGACGAAGTCACCGCACGACTTTCCACCGCCTTCACACACGCACCTACGCGCCCACACGCCCACACAATGAACAGCCCGAAGCCCTCTGGTATCCGCACGCCCACCCGCATTGGGCGTGCTGCTTCCGGGATCCCTGTCACGCCCGGAACACCCCCGACGCCGCCCACACCGCCCACGCCCCCGACACAGAATAAGCCGTTCAAAATCGCTCCTCTGTCCACGCCCTCGCCTTCTGCAGGAGCTAGTGAGTACAAAGTCCTCTCAGGGTAGGCCTATGTGAAGTATTGGGTATTTGTTTATTTATATGTTTGTTTGTTTATTGTAGCAGGTAGGCCTATATGGAGTTGATTATATATTTTTTGTATATAGTATCTAAGCCTATATGCTCATGCGGGGTTGATTATTAGCATTTTATTATATATATTTTTAGTGTTCTCGTATAGTAGTTATGGTGTTATACGTAGAATATATGGGGTTTATTAAGAGTATTATTATGACAATTATGTATTTACTATTTTCTTATTGTAACTCGGCCTATCTAAAGAGTTAGTTACACGGTTTATTACTGTGTATTTTGTTATTATTATTATTATTATTATTTTAGTAGGTAGTTTACAAAGATTTACAAAAATTTGACTGCAGCATTTAGGCAAACCATGAGGTGAGTACTACACTCGGTATAAAGGGTAGATATAATTATAATATTGCCGTGGATTCTGCATTGAAAGAAAATTATTTTCCGTTTAATTCTTTATATTACAAGATTTATTTGTAAATAGAATTAAGAAGAAAGAGAAGAATAAAAAACTACAATAATTATGGGAAATGATAAGGTGAGTAGTATACTCGGTACAGAATTAGAAATAGGTAGATTTGGTCGTAACTTTTGCCTGTGGAAAAATATAAGAATCGTAGTTGTGCTTTTGGGCTAATATTTGATTTCTTTTATAGTTTGATATATAGTAAGGTGACAAATGTGATTTTGTTGCTGTTGTTGTTTAGGGAAGATATTGTTGCTTCCCTAGGATATTATCTGAAATTTCGTGTCAAAATGTTTATCTCGCAATGATGAAGTTAGGATCTCTAATATACATTTGAACATAGCCGTACTTTTCTTTTCTTTTTTTTTAGATAAACTGAAATGAACAGTAAACTGAATGAACTCTTTGAACTATGAAATGAAGCTCTTAAGTACATGACGTAATGTATACATACATACGTAAATACATACACATAATTTTATGTGTGTGTTTGTGTGTGAGTATGCTTGTCATTTCCTTGTTATTATGTGTCTTCTATACTACGTTCTTTTGTTCTGTGTAACATACAATTGCTCTGCTATTATACACAAACAAGAACACTTGTTTATTTATCTGTTTGTGTGTTTAGGAGCTAGTTCCTTCTTACTGATAAGGCGATAATTTGAAATTTCGAACTTCTTTTTATTAACATTTTGCTTAACTTGAAATATCATCTAAAAGGTAAATAAGTATTGTTTCATAGATATCTGAATCATTAATATATTTTACTATAACTTGTGAAAATGATTCCTATGTTGATCAACGACACAAAATATATGCGTCACCCCTTATATTCTCATTTTCTTCGAGTGGCAAAATTTCTGAAAGAAAATGCATACCGTTGAGGGGTAACAATTGTAGTTTTATATACCGATGTGTGTTGGTATAGAGAATGGCGAGTTTAACCGAATTATGATATGTGTATATTTGAGTGTATACTGATACGCATCCAACTTGTTTATCTACCGATTTATCTGTCTACTCTCTCTCTCTCTCTCTCTCTCTCTCTCTCTCTCTCTCTCTCTCTCTCTCTCTCTCTCTCTCTCTCTCTCTCTCTCTCTCTCTCTCTCTCTCTCTCTCTCCCTCTCTCCCTCTCCCTCTCCCTCTCCCTCTCTCTCTCTCACTCGCTCTCTCTCTTTCTTTCTCCATCTCTCCTTCTCTCTCCATCTCTCCTTCTCTCTCCATCTCTCCTTCTCTCTCTCTCCATCTCTCTCTCTCTCTCTCTCTCTCTCTCTCTCTCTCTCTCTCTCTCTCTCTCTCTCTCTCTCTCTCTCTCTCTCTCTCTCTCTCTCTCTCTCTCTCTCTCTCTCTCTCTCTCTCCCCCTCCCTCTCTCTCTCTCTCGCTCGCTCTCTCTCTTTCTTTCTCCATCTCTCCTTCTCTCCATCTCTCTCTCTCTCTCTCTCCCTCTCTCTCTCTTTCTCTTTCTCTCACTCATTCACTCACTCATTGTGTGTGTGTGTGTGTGTGTGTGTGTGTCTGTGTATGTGTGTGTGTGTGTGTGTGTGTTGGGTGGTGCTCGGTTATGTCAACGTACTTGTCAGACTTCGATTTATGGCAATGTCAAGGTATTGGCAACGAGCTGTAGGTGTAGAGTGGGCTACACAATATTGCTTATCTACGTTGCAAAATTGCGTTTAGTTTAAGTAGGACGTGTTCGTAATACACGAGAAATTGCTGTATATTGCTTTTGTTTATCAATTCAGTCAAAATCTGATATGTACACAAAAGAGATAAACTGTAAGAAAGAGACAGACAAGTAGATAGAGAAAGACAAACAGATAGGCAGACAGAGACAGAGGAAGACATCCAGCCAACCAGACATGCAGTGTAATATAATCGGTTGTACATCGACACACACTCATCAACCTTAAACTACGCACACTTAATTTACAAATGATTAAAACACTATATAAAGCCCCCCCCCCCTTCACATCCCCTCACCTCTCCCCTCCCCCCCACCCCAAATCGCCTCATACGACCGCTGCGTCTGACAGTGACGACCTGGTTGGCGTGGGTCGTCCGCCCATGCCTTGCTTGCCGGGCGTCAGGGCTGGGCGGCGCCCGAGTTCGACGCCCACGCCAAATAGGCCACAACTTCGCCTTCCGCGGGTTGGTGTTGGCAGGGGCCGTGTGCGACTATGCAGGTGGATGGAGAGAGAGAGAGAGAGAGAGAGAGAGAGAGAGAGAGAGAGAGAGAGAGAGAGAGAGAGAGAGAGAGAGAGAGAGAGAGAGAGAGAAGAGAGAGAGGATGGAGATGGAATGAGAGAGGTGAACAAGGGAGAGAATTGGAGGAGGAGAGGGGAGGGAAGTGGGGAAGTAGTAAATGGAGTAGGAGGATGGAGAGAGAGAGAGGGGTTGAAGCAACAAAGATAGAAAGAAAGATGAGGAGAAGAAGAGGGAATGAGAAGGAGAATGGGGAAGAGAGAGAGAGGTGAAGAAGGGAGAGGGGATGCAAAAGAGAGATGGAGAGGGACAGAAGGAGAGAGAGAGAGGTGAAGATGAAGAGGTGGAGGAGGTGAGGGAGGGAACGGAGGAGAAGGATGGGGAGAGGGAGATGGAGGAGAATGAAGGAATGGGGGAGCAGGATGTAAAGAGAGAAAGTGGTGAAGAAGAGAGACGGATGGAGATGGATTGAAAGGGGGAGGAGAGGGAAAGGAGGAGGAGGATGAAGGCGGAGAGGGATGGGAAGAGGGAAAAGGACTGAGGCAGAGAGGGAGGGAAAGGGGGGAAGGATGAAAGAAGAGATGAAAGGAATAGGGGCGAAGGATGGAGGAGACAAGGGAAAGAGAGAGATGAGGAAGAGAAAAGAAAAGAAAGATGCAGAAGAGGGAGGGAAGTAAGGAGAGAAAAGAAGGGAAGAAGAAAGGGAGGAAAAGAAGGAAGAAGAGAGGAAAAGAGAGGTAGAGAGGGAAAGAAAAATGAAGAGAGGGTAAAAGGGGAGGGAAGGAAGGAAGGAAGAACAGAAATTTATTCTAAATAAAAACATTAAACAAACAAAACAAAACAAATACGAAAAAGACGAAACGCAAATGAAAACGGGGCACTTTTCTTAGACGGAAGGAAAGGCAAGACGTTCGAAAAATGAGCGTAATAAAGGGTAAAAAATTATAAACCCACCAATCTCCTTATTAGTTTACCCTCAAAATGCGTTTTAAGTTCAGATCTACCTTTATTACGAGCCATAAACTACTTATCTACCTAAATAAGGTATATCATTATAGACACTCTACATCCATAAGGAGTGTAGATGTAATAAAGGGACTTCGTAAACCGATAAACGTATGCAAAGAAGATACGAAGAAGACGCGAACGAGGATGGAAAGAGGACATGGAAGAATACAGTCGATTATTATCCACTCAGAGTTGCAAAAGAGAAGGGTGAAGGAGGAGGAGGAAGAGGAGGTGAAGGAGGTGGAATAGGTGTAAGAGGAGGTGGAGGAGGAGGAGGTTAAGTAGTTGTATAAGGAGGAGGAAGAAGAGGAAGAGGTGGAGGTGGAGGTGGAGGTGGAGGAGGAAGAGGAAGAGGAAGAGGAGGTGAAGGAGGTGTAAGAGATGGAGGAGGAGGAGGTGGAGGAGGAAGAGGAAGAGGAGGTGAAGGAGGTGTAAGAGATGGAGGAGGAGGAGGTGGAGGTGGAAGAGGAAGAGGAGGTGAAGGAGGTGTAAGAGATGGAGGAGGTGGAGGTGGAGGAGGAGGAGGAGAGGGAGAAGGAGGAGAAGACAAAGGAGATGAAGGAATGAGGAATAGGTATAAAAGAAGAGGGAAGAGGAAGATGAACAAGGGGGGAAGGATGAAGAGGATTTGGATGAAGAAGAACAGGGGAAAATGAGGTTGAAGAGCAGGAAGTGGAAGAACAGGAGATGGAGAAAGGGGAAGGAAGTATAGGGGAATAGGAGGAAGACGAATGGTTATGAAAAAGAAAAAGAAGAAGAAGAAGGAGGAGGAGGAGGAGGAGGAGGAGGAGGAGAGAAGAAGAAGAAGAAGAAGAAGAAGAAGAAGAAGAAGAAGAAGAGGAGGACGACGAGGAGGGTGTCGAAATCTGGCTATGCCCACGCGCTCTTGTGGACACTGCTGTAACTACGCAGTATCTTGACCATAGCCCCAGGTTGTCCAGTCAAAGTAGGTCGGAGAGGTAACCTATCAAGTGCTTATTTTATGTGATATAGCCATGACGGTGAACGTAGTAACTCTTTCTTTAACTTTCCTGGGAGTTTCTGTCTCTCTGTTAAATATTTGCCGGAAATCTGGGAAGTTGCTGGTAGAATTAGTTAATGAAAGAAATGGTGATTTAGTGAATTAATTCTTAGGGATATAAAGTCAAATTTCAGCATTATGGTAGGTCTGTCTTAGATCGGACAAAATGAATTAAAAGGAATGGAATCGTTATTCAAATAGCAACCATTCCAAACACAATATATATATATATATATATATATATATATATA